AAAGCTCGCCCGCCTCGTGCCTACCTCTCCTCCTGCAAATTATTTATTTTTTATTAATTTTCCGGCCAAATTTTGCGGGGTGGGTGGGAAGAAAGCTCGCCCGCCTCATGCCTACCTCTCCTCCTGCAAATGCAGCAGCGGTGGCGGCGGCGGCGGGGCAGAAGCAGCAGCGGTGGCGGCGGGGGCGGCAACAGCAGGAGGTGGCGGGGCGGGACTTTTGGGCTGCGGCTGCCCGCCTTTTCTGTTGCTCGCCTCGCCCCGCCTTGTGCCTACCTCTCCTCCTGCAAATGCAGCAGCGGCGGTGGCGGGGGCAGAAGCAGCAGCGGCGGTGGCAGGGGCAGAAGCAGCGGCGGCGGCGGGGGCAGAAGCAGCAGCGGTGGCGGCGGTGGCAGCAACAGCAGGAGGTGGCGGGGCGGGACTTTTGGGCTGCAGCTGCCCGCCTTTTCTGTTGCTCGCCTCACCCCGCCTTGCGCTTGCCTCTCCTCCTCCTCCTCACTGGATCTTTCATGAAGGTTGGGGTGGGCGTTGGGCCGCATTACGAGGCGACCTGGGCCGCATGCGGCCCGTGGGCCGCGGGTTGGACAAGCCTGATTTATTCAATTTGCATATGTTTCAGAATTACTTTTCCTAATCTTATAGCAGCCTTGAACTACGGTACAGCAGTTGTTTATTTCCCAGTATTCTTGACAGTATAAATTTATTGAGCTGCTTTTGTCTGAAACTTTATGCAAAAATATCCATATTGAAGCACATCACTGTAGCCACAATTTTTAAATTTGACTTCATAGACAGGTAATTTGTTTTAAATGAAAGTGGTGATTCTTCCATTTTGCACCTATAATTAATTTATTGCCCTTTTAAAAATAAGTAGAGCATCATCAATTGAAAACAACACTATTCTATATATTTATCACTCCCAATTTCCAAAATTTGATTCACTTTTCATAATGTGAAGGATGTTATTTTTATAGTTGGGGAGGGGGGGAGACATCAGACACTGTTTCCAGTTACGGGGATCCTTTGTGTTAACTTTGCCCACATCATTGGTTATGCAAAGGATTCTATTTTCTTACATAGCAGGCATCTTGCTCTAATTTTGTACTTTTTACTTGACAGGTTTGGAGAATTGAGAACTTAGAACTGGTGCCAGTGGAGGGTCGCAGCTTTGGGCATTTCTACAGTGGTGACTGCTACCTTATCCTCTACCAATATTTAGTTTATAATAAGATACACTACATCATTTACATGTGGCAGGTGAGCATGCCAAGAAAGGAACAGATAGAATGAAAGCATAGGCAGAGAGGATGTAGATTGAGAATCAAATGCCATTCAGGAATTCATTGAGAAATAGAATCATAGGGTTGGAAGGGACCTCAGAGGTCTTCTAGTCCAACCCTCTGCTCAAGGCCTTATACCATCCCAGACAAATGATTATGCAATCTTTTCCTGAGAATCTCCAGTGATGGAGCAACTATGACTTCTGGAGACAAGTTGTTCCACTGATTAATTGTTCTCCCTGTCAGGAAATTAACCCTTAGTTCTAGATATTCAATGTTACTCCCTTAAATTTAGTAAAGTATTAAGAAAGAATCCTAACCAAAGATGACTTTGATCACAAGGCACAAATGTAGTCCAGGAATTATTTGCAAATTCGAGTCAAGAATGAAGCCTGAGATTCATCAGAAATGCACTACCTTGGAACTGTGCTACCTAAGCATCACATAGTCATCTTCAAAAGTTGAAACTGTAATTTCTAACAAGAAAGAGAACCAATACTGGGAACAATGATAACTGTACATTCATTTAAAATGAAATTTATTTTTTTACTGTGGTCTGGCACTTATCACTCAAAAAAGCCGACGTGATTCTTTACCAAAAGAAAGTTGTGCCCCTCTGCTGCACTAAATGCAGATATAAAATGCACCAGACGGTGAAGCATGGTAAAGTTTCCAAGATTCCTTAAATAGAAATCCTTTGAAGGAACAACTGGAATGTTCTCCGGAAGGATTCAGTGGGTTTTCTCTCTGCTCCCCAGGGCCGTCATGCCACCAAGGATGAGATTACTGCCTCTGCCTACCAAGCTGTCACTCTGGACCAAACATATAATGGTGAACCTGTGCAGGTGCGAGTGACCATGGGCAAGGAACCTGCTCATCTTATGGCCATTTTCAAAGGACGCATGGTGGTGTATGCGGTAAGTAGGGGAGAGGCAGACTGCAAGATAATTTACCTGCTTTCATTCCCCTCTTTCCAATAAGACCTAACAGAGAGGTGGTGGAGATGATCTCTGATGGGTTATCCCAAAGGCTCTGCCTGAGCAATGGCATTGGGATAGAGGCATTTTCCTTTTCCTGCTAAGCATTTTTCTAACCTCATTTGACTCCTTCTGAACAATGCTATTATAAGTCCTTCTGTTGGAGGAAGTTATTTCCATTTGCTTACCATTATGAAGACCCAGATTGTTGGGGGCAATATGCTGACTCTGTAAAGCGCTTAGAGAGGGCTGTAAATGCTATTGCTATTATGGTTAGTAGCAGTTTCTGGCACATGGGATAAGTGAAAGGACAGGCTAAGTATGGAAAAATGACAAGTAGTAAAGGATTAAGCACTTTGTCTTCTTCTAACTAGATATGGAGGGAGGGAGGGAGGGAGGGAGGGAGGAAGGAAGGAAGGAAGGAAGGAAGGAAGGAAGGAAGGAAGGAAGGAAGGAAGGAAGGAAGGAAGGGAGTGATGGTTCCAGACAGCAATTTCCAGAGCCAAATTTATTTACTAACATACTTCTGTCAAAGGGGTGGTTTTTTTTTTTAACTCCTGAATACATTTTCTATTTTGAAAGAAAATGAGAGATGAACAGGGGAAACTTGAGATATTGATAAGGAGAAGGTACAGTACTCAGCTCTATTGTCTGCATTTAATTTCTATTTTTTTTTCTTTTGCCTTCTTCCCCAGGGTGGTACTTCCCGAGCTGGTAATACAGAACCAGAACCTCCCACCCGTCTTTTCCAAGTTCATGGGACTAATGAATACAACACCAAGGCTTTGGAGGTGTCTCCCAGAGCCTCCTCCCTCAATTCCAATGATGTCTTCATTCTTAAAACCCAGAGTTGCTGTTACCTCTGGTACGGTAAGGTAGGTACTGTACCATGATGGGGAAGCTCATGCATTAGAAATAAGCACAGAAGCCCTAATTTTAGTACTGCATGCAAGACAGTAGAACTTAATAAACTAGGACATCAACCAAGGACTAAGTTAGTGGATGGGTAGTAATTTCTAAGGGCCATAGTTTCCTGCTATGAGAAGGGAGACCATAACTGGCATCTAAGCCTCAAGCTGGAAAGAAACAGGCAAGGTATGGCTTAAAAAAATAGCACAGTTCAGATCCTCCCTGATCATTTCCACAATTTACCACATTGGTTCCTTCCACAGGGCTGCAGTGGGGACGAGCGAGAGATGGCCAAGAGTGTTTCCGACCTGATCTCCAGGACAGAGAAAGTTGTGGTAGCAGAAGGCCAGGAGCCTGCAGCATTCTGGGTTGCACTAGGTGGGAAGTCTCAGTATGCCAACAACAAAAGGTAACATCTTCCAAGCATCTGGAGAAGGGGGAAGAGGGGAAGAGCAATCTGCTCTAGTGCTGTGCAAACAACATTTGCAGCGGTGGCTCAGGGGTTAGAATGCAGTATTGCAGGCCAACTCTGCAGACGGCCAGGAGATCGGTCCTGACGGGCTCAAGGTTGACTCAGCCTTCCGTCCTTCAGAGAGCGGTAAAATGAGAACCTAGATTGTTGGGGGCAATATGCTGATGCTGTAAACTGCCCAGATAGGGCTGTAAAAGCACTATGGAGTGGTGTATAAGTCTAAGTGCTAATTGCTACTGCTATTTGCTCAGGCTACACCATGGGTGGCTGAAACTCTGGCCTATCACTACAATTCTCAACTTTTCCAACCTATGGGATATATGGGATGCTGGGAGTTTTAGTTCTACAGCTAAAAGGCCACCATTGATCCTGTCCCCTCCTTAAACCTTCTGTTTAACCACATCTGTTTCTGAACTTCCATAGCCAAGCCATAGTCTTTCTTAGTGATAAGGCCAGCATTGGATACAACAGCCAAAAATGTCATCTTCAGACAGAACTCCAGAACACTATCTGGGGATTACATCTACATAGTCTCTTTAAAAAACAACACCTTCAAAGCCAGCCGAATAAGTGCCATGTTTTGGACTCTTGAGAGCCAGTTGAGTTTTTAGCTAATGTCTTGATGAAAGGCAATTCTGTTGGAATTCAAAAAGGGAAGCAGGGGAACAATAGTGAAGAAGTGACCCATGGGCTGTAGTCAGTTTGAGGAGGTCCAATTCAAGGAGTGATTTGATAAACATTCTGTTTCATTCATGAAAGCTGAGGCTGTGATTATGGTTGAATAGAAAAGAGTTTGAGCAGAGAACTCTTAATCATTTTCTGCCCTGCCACCTCTCTGCTCTAGACAGCACCCCTTTCAATGCTGCTGAGTGGGGAAATCCTGTATCATAATTTCCCCACATCTGCCAGGAGGTTGTTCCAGCAGCACCTCGAGTTGCTTTATCTATCTTACGCAGATTGCAAGAAGAAACTGTTTCGATCACGCCTCGGCTCTTTGAGTGTTCCAATAAGACAGGCAAGTTCCTTGCCACGGAGCTCACCAATTTTACTCAGGATGATCTAGAACAAGATGATGTGTTCTTGCTGGATGCCTGGGACCAGGTGGGTATGAACGTGGAAGATGCAACAGAAAGAGGAAGACATTTATCCACAGTGACTATTTTTCTTTCAGAAATTGAAAGAATCAAAGGTGCCTCCTATTATTGAGCAATTTGCATGCCCACCCACATCACATCTGATCCGATTACTAATATAGTCCGCAGTTGATTGCAGTTGCCTGTGCTATATTGTCAAAGAACTTTTAGAACAGAATGTTCTCTTCCTCTCACTCTTCATCACTTCCGCTTTTTTTTTTTTTCACAGTTCTCACTTCTATCTCATAAACTGTTTCCCCTACCACCACCCCTAGCTTAGGAAGAGAATGCTTATTGGAATTATTCACTGGTATCAAACACCAATTCCCTTTCTGCTTTTTCCACTGTATAGCAGCAATGGGCACCTCAAGGAACACCTGCAGCCACCTAATCCTTATTTCTCCTTTTCTGGACCCTGTGGAGATTGTCACAATTGAAATTCAGTTAATTGCCAGATCACAGAGGCAAAATTTTCCATGGCAACATGTAATAAAATAAGTGTAATCTCCAATAAGCCTAACACACATCATCTTTGACAAGAGTAGCTGGGCTTGAAAAAAAGATAGCCTATCCCTGTCATAGAAATGGCAAAATATGTCCGTTTCAAATGAAATCAGTGGATTCTTCTCCAAAACCTATGTAAAAGCCAATAAAAAAGCCACAGTATCATTGCAGGAGCTGGGCTCTGCCTTATTTTATGCTATCCTATATACAGACAAATGAATCCAAAAATAAAAATGGAAAGCATTCAACTGCTAATTTAACGGGGAAAAACCCACAACTCTTAAGTATTTGAGTCTGCAGACCATTTCTAACACTGCCACCAGTGGAATATATGCAACAAAGATCTTTTTCAGAAATAGATCATACATTTTCTTCTTTGTAGAACTGGTTGCAAGAGTCAGTTGTTAAATTGTGCAGTTACCTGATGGGTAAAGCCACCAAACAAAACAAAAATCAACCCCTTATCAAAGCTTAGGATTCACCGGTCAGCAGTGTTTGTGTATCTTTGTGAATGCGTGTGATGGGTGTTTTATTCATTCACCAGAAGATATACATAAGTAAGAATCTTTAATTCTTACTTTGACCTATTAAAGCAACTTTGTATTTATGGAGGGTGAATGTCTAACAGGAAGAATTGCCCAAGGAGCTGCTGATAGTTCTACAGAGGAATTATTGAGTCTGTCATCTGTACTTCTATAGCTGTCTGGTTTGGTTCTGCAACCCAACAAGACAGACACAGACTTCAGAGGATAATTTGGACTGCAGAAAAAATAATTACTATTCCTTCAATCAAGGACCTGTATACTGTATGAATCAGAGGGCTGTGAAAATATTTACAGACCCCCTCACTTCCCAGACATAAACTGTTTCAATTCCTACCCTCAAAGCGACGCTATAGAGCACTGCAGACCAGAACAACTTGACACAAGGACAGTTTTTTGCCAAACACCATCACTCTGCTAAACAAATAATTCCCTCAACACTGTCCAACTATTTACAAAGTCTACATTACTATTATTATTGTCTCATCACTCCTTATTGCCCATCCCTTCCCACTTGTGACTGTATGACTGTCACTTTGTCGCTTGCAATCTTACAATTTATATTGTTTCTTAGTATGATTTGATTCCTTATTGTACCCTATGACTATTATTAAGTGTTATACCTGATGATTCTTGACTCTTGATGAATGTATCTTTTATGTACACTGAGAGCATTTGCACCAAGACAAATTCCTTGTGTGTCCAATCACACTCGGCCAATAAAAGAATTCTATTCTATTCTATTCTATTCTATTCTATTCTATTCTATTCTATTCTATTCTATGTATACTTCACTGCTTCAGAATCCCAATTGCTCCCCTTAAATTTATACCTATTTCCATCGCATAAATTTTTCCTGTGTACCTGAAGGAGGGGAAGAGGCAGGTAGAGCTAGTATTTTGGACTCTCTTGAAGAAAGTCATGGTAGTGGTTTTATCTACTTTCCTGCTTCCATTCCAAACACTCTTTTATGATTTGCTTCTCTTGACTCTCCGTTGACATAAATATCCTTTTATTACCGCATTCTCAATTAATGCAAGCTGCCTTCCAATTTGTAACAAACATACTTCCAGCCAATGTTTGTTGAAAGACTTTAACTCTTTTTAATTAACACCAGAAAGTCACTTTCGCTATTAATTTGTTAAATGTGTTATATTTAGTGTTGCCAGATTCCATCTTAATTCCCCAAATAATGTACATTCTTGCTTAGAGAAGAGGCAGATGGAAATTTGGAGATGGGATGGAACAGTTCTTTTGAAGATTATCCTTACTAGGTTCTAGAAAAGAGCTTTTCAATTATTTACATTAATATGGATTTAGCTGATTTTTTTTTTAAAAAACCCTTTTATAAGGTTCTGTCTTTACAGCTTTAATTCTATGTAATTCTGACCTGAGTTTTATGCTTGCATGGGCTTGTTCCTCATACCTGGATTCATTTTCAGCACGGTAATTCTAATCTTGGAACAGTGGTCCAAGCTGCATAGTTTTTTTATGATCAGAGAGACATTTCCCCCCCGCGTAGGTTTACTTCTGGATTGGTAAAGATGCAAACGAGGCTGAGAAAGAAGCAGCAGCCGTCACCGCCCAAGAATACCTGCGGACTCACCCAGGCTGTCGGGACCCAGACACTCCAATTGTGATTGTGAAACAGGGCAACGAACCTCCAACATTCACCGGCTGGTTTGTAGCATGGGATCCTCTCAAATGGACAGTAAGTGACAAAAGGTTCTTCTTTTGACTTGGAAAAGGTAGCTGCCTGTACCATGCGTGAAGAAAAGTGACCTATTCCTCCTCAGAATCTCAACGTTCTTCTTTGAGAAAGTCTGTAGCGTATTTTCATTGCCCAAGCTTTCAGTTATAAAGTAAAAAACAACAACATTCTGCCTGTCTCCCTGCAGGACAAGAAAACCTATGAAGAACTGAAAGCTGAACTTGCCGATGAGGACAGCCTTGACCAAATCACTTCTGTAAGTATGGCTGATAAGGCGAGCAGTAGCACAGAATGTTAACAGCAAGATACTGTACAGCTTTCCACTATGAAAGGAATAGGAAATCCTCTTTCAAATTATTTCAGTGCCTGTAAAGAAGTGAAGCCTGCATTGATCTACTTTCAGTTGAAGAGAAAAGTGAAGGAATATGAACCAAATCTATTCTTAAAGACCAAGCAAAAAACGCTGGGCCTTAGTTTACAGCTAATTCTTCAGATTTGGAACTTTCTCTTATAGCATACAATGAACAAGGAATGTTGGACTATTTTAAAAATTTAAACATTCGGCAAAAACTTTGATGAACTAAAAACTCCTAAGAGCATGTCTATGGAGATTTGCAAGTCATCCAGGTCACGGTTGTTCCAAAGGTACTTTTTCAAAAGGCAATTGGACTTTATTTTTCCTTTGAAGACATTTTGCTTCTCATCCAAGAAGTTTGTTCAGTTCTGACAGTCAGTACTGAAAAAGCTTATTGGATGAGAAACAAAATGCTTTCAAGGAAAAACAAAAAAAAAAACACCTTTGGGACTCCTAAGAGCACATTTTTCCACCTGGGGCATCAAATCTTATTATATTCATGTATTTGTTGGTATACATATGCCACTTTGGAGGGACAGTGCAAAGGTAGCAGGGAAGTCAGTGAAATGGAAGAAAATATAAAAATTACAACTCTGACAATTGTATATTAAATGCATACAAATTTCCCATCAGCATTCAAGCAATATTGAGGACACCATAAACATTCAGGAGATTTATTCTTAAACCTAAAATAATTTTTCATGAATATTGATGGTCCTCAGTTAGTGACAATTAGAGCTGGCATCTTGGTTGTTAAATGAAGTGGTCACTAAGTAAAACCGCAACTGTGCTTATGATCTTACTTCCATTTTTCTTCGCTTTACAGACCTGAGAAGGGCATAAGTATGGGAACTGATCATAAAGTTACTTTTTCATCACCATCATAATTGCAGCCACTAAAAAGGCAGCTGCTAAACAAGGAAACCTGTAAAGGAAATGCAAAACAAGATTGAGACACAGAATAATTATAATTTGTTAAGGATTCTAATTTCCAGCTCTATGTTCCATGGCCTAGGCATTGATAATCCACAAAAAAACTCTGAAAGGTTTTTGACTGAGACAGCAATGGGTTTTTTTCATTCAGCTTATGATGCATCGGGGCCTGTTAATTCATACATTCCATCTTCTTGATCTCACTATTTACACTTACTGAATGACTCCATGATGCTGCAACTCTTTAGCACAAAATTGCCTTTTTACGTTGCGTCGAACACCATTTGTTTTTAAAAAGGACACTCTAAATGATTCTCACCAAAAGTTCCTCAACCACAGCATATTCATTGGTCATTTGCACTGCATTGTCCCTTTTCAAATACACAGCCCCTCCTATCTATAATGTTAAAGATAGTCAATTTAGAAAAGCCCAGCCTGTAACTCTTTCTTTTTTTTAAACGAATTCAAACAAGGACAAAATGGACATGGGAATAGCTTTGGGGCTTCCCCTTTTTCTATTTCAGGAAATCTTGGAAGGAAAAGAAATTTTTACTGCCAAGACAACTTTTGGCAAGTTGTCATTCTCTACATACCCCTTGGAGAAATTGGTGAATGTCGCTCCAGAAGACCTTCCCAAGGACATAGATCCCAGCCGGAAGGAGGTGAGAGATCAGAAGGCTATAGTCAGAGTTTCCATGGGGACAGTGAGGGCATTTCAAGAGGAGTTGCTGATATTTGCTGAAAATCCAGGATAAAAAACAGTTGCTCGTTACGAAGTTTATTAAATGGCTTTGGGAACTCTCTTTAATCTGATATGAAGTTAAAGCACTATTCTTGCCTCCTCCTAAAATGTTTAAAAGTTTCATTCAAACATTTTAGATTTCATAGACCAAGTAGTCCTCGATTTGTGACAATTGAGCCCAAAATTTATGTTGCTGAGACAATTGTGCATTTTGCCCCATTTTACGACCTTTCTTGCCACAGTTGTTAAGTGAATCTTGCTTCCCCATTGACTTTGCTTGCCAGGAGGTCGCAAAGGGTAATCACATGACCCCAGGGACACTGCAACAGTCATATTAGTCAGCTACCAAGCATCCTAATTCTGATCACATGACCACAGGGATGCTGCAATAGTCATAAGTGTGAAAAATGGTCATAAGTCACTTTTTTCAGTGTCATCGTAACTTTGAATGGTCACTAAATGAGTCAAGAAGTCAAGAATTACCTGTACTTTTTAAAATATATTTTGACATTTTATTGTACACCGTTCAGAGTCCCTCTTTGAGATAGGTGGTTCAGAAATGTTAAAAATAAATGTGAGTAAAACATAAATGAAACAAAATGAGAATATTCTCACTTTAGTTTGGTGTACGCGTAAACATTTGATCTTTGCTGTGATTTTAATGCCTGCAAACACACACTTGGTAAGTGCAGCTTACAAAGAATTATGCAAAACCATACTAGAATAGAAATGTTACTTCCATTGTGACTCGGGGGGGAAAAAAACCCCTTATATTTAATAATATACAGTACTTCAGGGGTGTCAAACTCATGGCCCGTGGGCCAGATGCATCACGTGCTGGCCCCATCCCGCCTGGTATAGCGAAGGGGAAAAAGTCCCGATACGCCACATGACGCTACCATGAGGATGCGAGTTTGACACCCCGATCTACTTCATTTACTTTTCTCGCTGTTTATAAGACTAGCTGTCACTTATATGTGCTTTTCTTCCATTCCACAGCAATACTTGTCAGAGGATGATTTTTTTCAGATCTTTGGAATGTCCCAACGGGATTTTGCAGCACTGCCTTCATGGAAACAAATGTCTCTCAAGAAGGAGAAAGGACTTTTCTAAATGGAAATATGCCTGCCATTATTTTCAGCCATTGCAGACCTTAATGTCATTTTTGGTAAAAGCTTGATAACGGAAGCATTCAGAATTTTCTACTAGCAGTTTTTCAAAGACAAAAGGGCTTCCTTTTTTTTTTAAAAAAAAGTATAGATAATCTTAGTGCAGACTCAGAACAGCTGCTTTAACATACTTTCTTCCAGTTATGAAGCTGCCCAAAACTATGTTGGAATCATTTACTCTTTCTCAATAGCCAAGTTCCAATCTGACTTAGTGACAAAGCTGGCAAATGGGGCTACCCTAAAACTTTATTGTGGAACAGGTGCAGAAAAGCAATTGGTGGATTTCCTGCTAGTGGAAGACAGAAAAAAAAAAGCCACCACCATTTTTCCTAAAAGGAGGTTGAGCTGGGGTGGATTTTGAATGAGGCCCATACATTTTGCTATCAAAAGCTCACTTGTTTTCCAACTGCCTCTTTTTATAGGGAACCCCTATTTGCACCACAAGTCAGGTGTGCCAATTCTCCACCTATTGATGATTGCTCTTGTTCATCTCCCTTTTGCACATGCTGTAGCACTTTCTTATGCAATCTCTCAACTGCCTCTCTTTCTCACACTCCAGTTACTCTCAATTATTTTGTCCAATCTGGGGAGACTCCCTGAGCGAATCAGTGCTACTTTTCTGATTCAACTGCCCTTGAAAGATTTTCCTACTTGGAATTTTAAAAACACTTTGGACCAAAATCTTTCAAAGCAAGGACATCGCAATCTTGTAACCTGGCCAGAAACGACTTAAAAAGCAGGTAATTTATGCTGCTTAAAAACACAGCTTTGCCAATAGAAGTAAATATAACAGTCCAGGAGTACTGGCCCTCCAAGTCTGCCTTAATCTGTTCTTATCTATGATCATAACTGTCTACATGATTATAGTTAGAGTTTTCAACTGCCAATGAAGAAGATGCCTCCAAAATAGTCTTTGAGGTGACCCATAAAACAGAAGGCATTCCAGATGGAACCACTGTTCTCTTATGAAATGTATCCCAGTGCAAATAAATCTTCTTCATGCAAACTGAGAAGCTATCCTTGTTTGTAAACGGCAAGTTACCACACCACTAACTCACAGAATTGAACAGAATTGGGCCATTTTATCATCAGGCCATTGCCATTGTAAATATAGTTTAAAGTTAAACTATGTTGAAACACTATACCTAGTCCATTTGGCAGAAATAGTCTGTCCTCAAAGAAAAAGCAAACAGGATTGACATTTTGCGGCTTACAATAGTAATTTTACCTTCAGAGAATGACAGCTATTGAAAATTAAGGACCCCACTGCTAATGGACATTTCTTTTCCATAATGAATTTTAGTACCTTTTTAAATATACAGTGATATCTTCTCCAACACGGTTATGTACTTTTAAAACAAACAAGAACAGATTTTAAATTAATAAAAAATGTGGAATATCTAAGCAAAATCAACGTGAAAAAAATACCATGATTTTTGTAGTGCCAATTTTGTGGAGGAAAAACCGCAATCAAATGGCAGTAAGGACAAATAGAAATGTAGTAAGGCACTGCATTGCTCTGGAAAGAAATATCAGATTCGGCATTAATAAAGAGCGTTTAATTTCTCAGAAATTGATCTACACATTATTTAAAAAGAAAGAATAAAAGCAGAATTTTGAGGAAGAGAAGAACAGGTCTGCTAAAACACAGAAAACTGCTGCTCCACATTATGTCAAAGGATACAAAGTGATTCCCAACATAATCAAAGCAATCTTCTCAATGCACCTAAGAAACCCTTGTCATTTTTATTTGTTCCCTTCCACCAAGATTTTACAAAGTAACTTCTTAAAGTAAAAGCAAAGGAGTAGGTTACTGCTGCAGGTCAACAGCAAAGTGTTATGAACTTTCTTTGATTTTCATTCATGGGCTATTAATTCTCTATTTCGGGTTAGTTTTAAAAAGCACCCTGTTCTTTTTCAGAAACACATGGCAATCTTTTTTTCCAGAATATTCACTTCATCGTGAAATATTAATTTTATGCAATTTAAAAGCAATTATTTTGCCTTTTACTTTGTTGCAATGCAAGCAGCTTTCTCTTAGCACATCTAGCAACAAAGGCTCATAATACAGAGAGCCATCCTTAAATGCTGTCAGGTCCTCAGAATGTGAAAAGGCATCTCAGAATAGAGAAATGTCCCTGAAACTTTTGCACCTTGTCACGTATGAATATTAGGTTTTATCCAAACAGAAGCAATGCTGCTTAATATTCTATAATTGCATAATTCTAAACTTTTGTTGTTGTTTTTTAAAGTAAGCTACCTGAGCTACTTTTAAATGTCACGTACGCACAAGGTTTGATTCACTTTTGAGAAGAATTTAGTTACTTAGTACAAACATGTTATGGCTATTTCTTGTATAAAAAATAAGTGCAGGAAAAAGAATTGACAGGTATAAGTGGAAAGGAAGAGAGGAATTTAAAATACACTGAAGTTCATCCACTACTGGATGAACTTATAAAGTTAGGCCTCATTTCAAAATCTAAAATCAATAATCCTAGAATTAAGATGTCTAGAGTTGTGCCATATCATGCTGTTTCAGAAATATAGTATAACTAAATCCAGTTGTTTTTTTAAACAAGCATTTTTTTAAAAAATACTAGCAGCTGCAGTTCAGGTTCCCAAGAGATTTTCCAGGTTCCTTGGTATAATTTCTCAAACGGAAATATGATAAACCATTTAATGTGAGGGTTTAAATATAATCCAGTATGGTCAGCAGTGTCAGAGTTAAATATTAAAACTTAGATGAACTGCAGCACAAATTCATTGCATTGCCACAGAATTTGATCTGATTTGTAAAATGCAAACCAGGCAGGATTAACAGTCACCACTTCTTACTGAATGAGAATTATTTTCTTCCAAAGGTATATAAATTTATCTCAGGCTACATACTTTTCAGGTTTAGATGAAGCAAATCAGTCATTACACACTAAGGGCAATTCTGCATTCTATTATAGAAGACACCAAATTAGAAACTGCATATATATTAGTTAATTTGGCTACACTGTTAAGTGTGGAACCAAAAACATAACTGCATAATTACAATGGGTTGTATAAGACCCTTCCATTCAGAGCAGGAAATGAAAGCTAACAACACTTTCTGCCAGAAGGGAGAATGGGGGATGTACCGTATTTTTTGAAGTATAAGACGCTTTTTCCACCCCGAAAAATGGGTGGAAATATCTGTCTTATACAGCGAATGTTATCAAAGCCCCACCCACCCGCCAGCCCCCACCCTTCAGCCTCTGCCTCCCAGCAATTTGCCTCCTTGCAGCAAACAGCCTGTTTCAGCTTCAGCACAGCCTGATTAGTACAAGCAGCCAATTGTCAGTTGGATTGGCCTGCCGACAATCAGCTGTTTCAGGCTGCAGGGATTGCCACTGCCTATTGCCACCTCTGCGTGCCCCATTTTTGGCCTCACCACGCCCCGTTTTCCACCGGTTCTGATCCCCACCACCTGGGGTGAAAATGGGGCGTGTGGAGGCCAAAAACAGGGCATGCGGAGGCTGAAAATGGAATGCAGAGGCTGAAAATGGGGCGCACAGAGGCGGCAATCGGCAATGGCAATCCCTGCAGCCTGAAACAGCTGATTGTCGGGAGGCCGATCCAACCAACAACCAGCTGTTTGTGCTAATCAGGCTGTGCTGAAGCTGAAACAGGCTGTTTGCTGCAAGGAGGCAAATTCTTGGAGGCAGAGGCAGATTTTTTTTCTTGTTTTCCTCCCCCAAAGCTAGGTGCGTCTTATACTCTGAAAAATACAGTACTTTTAATTTTCTCTTGAATCTGAGTTTGCCACCTCCCCTTATATTTAAAGGCCTCAACTCTCCACAGCCCCTTCTCAAGAGACCACAAGCACTGAAGAAAAATACCACCACCCCACAGAGTCCATTCATAAGGAAATCTAGGATGTATCTGGAGTTGGGTGAGGCAGAAGATGGACCAATGACTCAGTACCATTCACTTGAATGGAAGTTCAGCTATCAGTGCACTACAAATCCTGCTTTTTCCTGAATTGTACCAATAACTGCTCAAGCAAATAGAAATGCAGGTTCTTTTCAGCTTCTGTCAAATATCTGAAGGGTTTTTTCATTAACAGAGAGCTAGCCTTACTCTAGAATCAAGACTATCACATTCTGAGATATACTCTTCTTTACAAAGAAAATCTCTTTATTCTTTGTTAAAAACACATCGAAATACCTTTGTGAACAGTACAAAATTATGACAGAAGTTAGCATATTATGCTTTGGTGCAGTGTAGTTTTTGAGAACTTTATCTTCTACATCAGATAACATTTTACTCTGTTGGTATCTTCTATATTTATTTATTTAGAGTTCTCCAATACTGCCTGAATTATCAATAATCTTTAAACCTTTCAGCAACAAATAATTCTATTGTCTATGTGACTCATGTCTATTCTCAAAACATAGTGTCCGAAGGTTCTAATAGTAAAGAACAGAAAAATCCCCAACAAGTAGGGGTAAAATACATTTTCCCATGTAGCTGCTGTCTTTTTCAAAGAAAATATTTTTACTATGAAGCAAATCAAGAAACATCTCAATTATTAGCAATTTCATTGCTATGAAAGTGGAAATGGGATAATAGTTATTAACTTCCAACACTGAAATGAGGCTTGGGCACAAGTAATTTCTATATAATTTTTGCCAATATAAGTTATTCAAACACTTTTAAGTGTGTAAACTCCTCTACTGCTGCTCTGAAAAATCTTGCAAATGCTAATCATTTAAGAGTTTTATTTTTTATCAACCCCACGAGACGAAACTCAGTTATATTTCCATGTTCCTGTTACCATATTACTTGCCCACTTTCAAGCACATACAGCTCTGGAGGCCAGAGCAGAATTGAACTATTTCTGTTTCATTCACTGATTAGCGTCAGCTTGGAAAGGGACTGCCGATCACCACCCAACCAGTGCAACTCTTCCATGAAACACAAGAAATATAGAGATATATATACACACCCATGCACTCAAGGGCAAAGGGAACTGTTCTGCAAATGACAGTACTTGGAAACTAATGCCTTCAGAAAGAATAAAAATTTTAAAAAGGTAAAATATACATATATGTATATATTATTTGAAGTGATGAAAATGAAGGATTCTGGAGTGTTACAAATCATAGGTATTTAAGTCCATTTGTTTTAGCAAAAGACGGATCCTTCCATTTAACCAATCAGCCACTTGCACTTTCCAGGGCATAGTATAAATGTAGTATAGCTTATGCTTTTTTCTCCCCCTTTTTCTTCTGTAGGAAGAAAGTCAACCTATGTATGAGGTCTTCTCTATTTGTTAATAATAGGTGATCTTGTGGTCTTCTCTCATACTATGCTTTTATAAGTTTTGGAAGAAG